TCTCCCGCCCGACCCGGGAGGTGTGTTGTAAGTGTATTTTAAGGGGGGCAGTATGTCAGCAAGCTGCCATTCTGTTTTCTGTGACCTCTGTGTACATATCCTTTCCCTGTTGCACCCGGCTTGGTTTCTATCATCCTGCTCCTGCGTTGGAATGCAAAAGATAACTGCTGGAGGTTGTGTGGGGGAGAAGATGCTGTAATGCTTGCCTATTGATTTTCTCATGAGTACTGCACCTGTGTTTTGTCTGATGTTCTGCCTGGTTCCCATGGACTGGGCGCGCAACCGTTTCATTAGCCCGCCAGCGGGAAAGCTATTCATTGGATCTGTATCTGTTTGAAGTTCCTTTATTATGCTTGACCTAACTGTGTATCCCCAGTTCTAACAAAGAACGTGTTTGAGTATGTCTTCAACGCTTTGAAATAAATTTTGCTTTTCTTGAAAACGTGGATTTATTCTCGATGCTTGGGGATCCAACAGTGAGCTCCTGGCATTAAAGTTGTGAGCCAGCAATTTGGCTGCGGCATAAAGTAGTTTGCTCCGAAGCCCTCCTCCCTGAGCTGAGACATAAATGTGTGAGCCGGAGGCTAAAAAACTGTGAGCTAGCTCGCACTAACACAGCTTAGAGGGAACACTGCTGGAGACCAAGAAGCCCTGCGAGGAAAGGCTGAGGGACTTGGGAATGTTCAGTCTGGAGAAGAGGAGGCTGGGGACTTTGGAAAGTGCGCGGTGGGGAGAGGGGGGGGGGGGGGGGGGGGGACAGGATGGCTCTCTTGAACTATCTGAAGGGCCGTCCCTTAGAGGAGGGCGGGGAGCTGTTCCTGTTGGCAGAGGAGGAGGGGACTCGCAAGAATGGGTTTAAATTACGGGTGAGAAGGTCCCGGCTGGATATTAGGAAAAAATTCTTTGCAGTCAGAGTTGTGCGACAGTGGAATCAGCTGCCTCGGGAGTCTCCCTGGCAGTCTTCTAGCAGCAAGAAAGAAAACACCACTGGCAAAAAATGAGCAGGAGGAGTGGTGTTTTCTTTTTTGCTTCTTGCATTGTACACTGGCTCCCCCCCCCCTTTTTTTGGCAGTCTTCTAGCAGCAGCTGGACAAGCCCTTTTCAGGGGTGCTCTAGGCTGATCCTGCATTGAGGGTGGGGGCTGGGCTAGACGGCCTGTCGGGCCCCTTCCGACTTTATGGTTCTGTGATGGGTGCGTTCCTGGCAGGTCTGGGCCTCCAGGGGGTGGTGATGGCGGGGAACCCCCTCCCTCTGACAGTGCCACGAGGCTTGCCTTTCAGCCCTGACGGATGAGCAGAAATCGCGCATCCAGGCCATGAAGCCGATGACGAAGGAGGAATGGGATGCCCGCCAGAGCGTCATAAGGAGAGTTGTCGATCCTGAGACAGGAAGAACGAGGTGCACTCGGGGAATGGGGTGTGTGTGGGGGGGAAGAAGACACGATCCTTGCTAGTTTTGCATAGTCAAAGAGGCATCGGGTTTCTTGTCTCTTTCCCCCTCTGCGGAAGGCTAGCCTGAAACCAATTTGGTTCCCTCTGCACGCGTGGAACAGCGTGTGCTTTCTGATCTGGAGCTTCCCGATCTTGCCAATTACTTGCCATTTCTAAAGCATATTCGAGACACAAAAGATCTTTACATTTTATCTCGTCCCGTTCTCCCAGTGTCCACACAGCAGTCCGTCGCTGCTCCCATTTTGCAGAGGTGGCAACCGAGCGAGTCCTTTGCTAAACAGGCTTTCTGACTCGGGATAGGTTCATGGTTCCGCCCTGGCAAAAAGTTCTGCTTCAGATGATTGGCAAGTCACTTGCGGAACTCCCTGCCACAGGATGGTTAAAGGGCGGCTTGCTTGGATAGCTTCAGAAAGGACTAAACGCATTCCTGGAGGAGAAATCCATCAGTGGCCATTAGCCAGGATGGCTGACTGAAACGTTCGTGTTCAGAAGCTGCGCACCTGTGAATAATAGTTGCCAAAGGGCAACAGTGTGTGTGTGTGTGGGGGGGACCACCCTGCCCCGCTTGTAAGTATTCTGGGAAGCCTACAGCTGGGCATTGTGAGTAACAGGGCAGACGACGTGGATCTTTTGGCCTGATCCAGCAAACCCTTTTGTAGCTTATCTTATTCAGTTATTTGTTATGACACTTGAAGCTCCTTCTCTGTGAGTCTGTGGATGGGCTGACTCTGCTTCTCTTGCAGGCTCATCAAGGGAGACGGCGAAGTCCTGGAGGAGATTGTCACTAAGGAGAGGCACAAAGAAATCAACAAGGTAATGCGGCCGTTCTTCATCCCGGAGGGGCAAGGAAGCCCTTTGGCCCCGGAGTGCTTAGAGGCACACAGAGGCTGCACCTCAAAGCTGAATTCGGGCTACAGCAGCATTGGATAATGTAACTGCTCTCAAGGAATTCTGTTCCATTTGGCAGGGACATTCTGGCTTTAATCTAGGGAGCCGAATGCCATTCGGGCCCCTTTCGGGCTGATTCAGATTCTCTGATCTGAATCGGCTTGCGGCCGAATTACCGCCGAATTTTGGCAGCAATTTGGCCCCATTAGATCCAATGGGCCATTGAAGTCAATGGCGAAAACATAAGGTATATTCTGTGGGCTGGAGGGGAGGGGGTTTGAGGGAGAGGCTCCAAACTTGTAGGGTAGCTGCTGGAGCCTCTCCCCAAAATACCCACCAAAGTTCAAGAAATTTGAACCAGGGGGTCCAATTCTATGGGCCCCCAAACAGTTTGCCCCCATCCCCTCCATTGTTCTCTTTGGTGGGAAAATGGAGGGGATGGGGATGGGGGGATGGGGACAACCTGTTTGGGGGCCCATAGAATTGGACCCCCTGGTCCAATGTTCTTTGAAACCTGGTGGGTTTCTTGGGGAGAGGCTCCAGCAGCTACCCTGCGGGTTTGGAGCCTCTCCCTCAAACCCACTCCCCAGAATATACCCTATGTTTTCACCATTGACTTCAATGGCCCATAGGTTGTAATGGAGCTGAAATTGGCATTGCGCTGGCCAAAAGACTCCGGAATCCCTCCTGCTGCCGATATTGACATGTAGGAGTATTTCTGGCCAAAACTGATTGTGCCCGATTCCGAAGACTCTGAATCGGGCCGAATTTATTTTTTTGCACACCCCTACTCTAATCTAATCTGGTAGACCTGGGTTTGGTTCCCCACTTCTCCACATGCAGCTGCTGGAGTCACCTTGGGTCACTTACAAGTTCTTTCAGAGATGTTCTCTCAAGAGCAGTCCTCAAAAGAGCTCTCCCAGCCCCACCTACCTCACAGGGTGTCTGTTGTGGGGAGGGGAAGGGAAAGGAGTTTGTAAGCTGCTCTGAGACTCCAAGTGAAGGGCGCCAGGGTATAAATCCAATCTCTTCTTCTTCTTCTGTCTTCTCAGCAAGCTACCCGGGGAGACGGCCTTTCCTTCCAGATGAAGACGGGGATGCTCCAGTAATTGGCCAGACCTGCGATGTGCCAAAAGACAGCTGTCTTCCCAGACACAGAGGCTTGGCCAAAACGGGCACACGTCCCCCTGGTGCCGGCAGGAGCACACCTGGACAGAAAACGGGCGGGGCGAGAGGCTCCAAGCCCACAACTGCTGCACAGACGCCTTGCCTGGGGGGGCGTGAGTCTTGCTTCCTTCCAGAGGCCCCTCCCCCCTTGAGAACGTGCCCCGGGGTCCCGCATGATGTCCTCTGCTCACCGCTTGCCCCCTTATCCTGCCCAGTCCCCTCAGTCACGGTCTCAGAGTTTGTTCTTCCAAAGAAATAGGAGACTGAGAGAAACGGGAAAAGGTTAAGCAGGACTAATCTCCGGAGGGTCTGACAAAACAAGCACTAGAGAGGCCCGCCTTCTCCGAGGGAGGCGAACCCATCAGGATGTCTGCAGCCAGCCCCACCCTACTGACTACGGGGAGGGCGGGACACATCCTGCCTGCCTTTCTCCTCTGGGACGGGGGAGACATCGGCAAGGTGGAGCCTGATCGAGGTCAAAAGGAGGGGAAAGGGTGTCTCCGTGCTGTGACAGAGACACCGCTTAACTCTGGGACCCAGAGCTTGGCTCATTGCTGGCGTCTGGCAAAACGGAAACCGCCCCGCGCCGCTTGGCTTCTGCATGCTAATTCCAGAGCAGTTGGGGGCTGTTTGCTTTCTTGGGATCGGACGTCATCTCAGAAGAGTTGTGTTTGGGGAGGGGCTGGCTGTTGAGTCGGGACCGGAGAACCATCCGGCGTCCTTTCTGAACGGAGAAAGGTGGGCTAGCATGTAAAAAAATACCTCCGGCTCCCTGGGGCTGTACGGAAATAACGGCGAGTGTAGTTGTTTAAGCCTGAGCGATATGAAAAGATGCACTTTTGTGTGTGTGTGTGTTTGTGTGTTGCTGTTAGCTCCTGACAGCAGTGCAACCTGATCTAGGTTGGTGCCTCTTTGGACAGCGCCCCTGCCCTCTTTCTGGCTGCCTTTGTGTCAGCACAGCAGAGACAATGAAAACAGACAAGAGGGAAGGCACAGACTGGTGGGCGTCCAACCAGACTGGTCTTTCCTGCTGGCCCAGGAGAAGGGCAGTAGCCCAGCAAGAAGTCCTACCCTACAGAAGTTCAGAAAAGGTTAGACACTATCAGAGAAACTGGGCCTCTTCCCTTTGGTGTCGTGGTTAAGTGCACGGACTCTAATCTGGGAGAACCGGGTTTGATTCCCCATTCCTTCACTTGCACCTGCTGGATGACCTTGGGCAAGCCATAGTTCTGTCAGAGCTGTTCTTGAAAAAGAGCCGTTTCTGTCAGAGCTCTCTCAGCCCCACCTACCTCACAGGGTGTCTGTCGTGGGGAGGGGAAGGGAAAGGAGTTCATAAGCCACTCTGAGACGCCTTTGGGTAGTGAAGGGCGGGGTATAAATCCAATCTCTTCTCTCTTCTCCTCTTCTTCCTTAATCCCTGGATGCGGATATAGAGTCCAGGAGCACCTTAAAGACTTAACAAAATTTGTGGCAGGGGAGGAGTTTCCACGACCCACGAAAGCTCCTGCTCTGCTGCGAATTTCTCCAGGTGGTCAGCCGTGTTGGTCTGAAGCCGTAGAACAAATTTAGAGTCCAGTCAGGCACCTTTTAAGACCAACAAAGGCTTATCCAAGGTATGAGCTTTTGTGTGCCAGGCACACTTTTCCAGATACAGTGGAAATGGTAGGTAGAGTTCAAACTTATAGACAGGCTGAACAGCAAATTTACATGTAACATGGTGAAGATGTTTTAAGTTATGCAAAAATGAAACTCAATAACAAGCTAAAGTTATAAGGTCAGCAGTTGTTTTGATTTAATTAAGGGGGGGGAAGGACACCAAAGCAATAAATATGTCAAAATAGGGGACACATGTGTAAAGGCATCTTTTCTAATTGTGGGAAGTAAATTGAGACTCACAAATCTTGTTAGAAGAAGAGATTGGATTTACACCCCCGCCCTTCACTTGGAGTCTCAGGGCGGCTTACAAACTCCTTTTCCCTTCCCCTCCCCACAACAGACACCCTGCGAGGTAGGTGGGGCTGAGAGAGCTCTGGCAGAAACTGCTCTTTTCAAGAACAGCTCTGAGAGAGCTGTGGCTTGCCCAAGGTCATCCAGCAGGTGCAAGTGGAGGAGTGGGGAATCTCCCAGATTAGAGTCCGCACCCTTAACCACTACACCAAACTGGCTCTCTTAAAGGTGCCACTGGACCCTTGCTCTTTTCTACTGCTACGGATGGACTAACACGGCTTCCAATCTTGATCGCTCTGGGTGCGGATGGCGGTCCTGATAAAAAAAGTCCACTTCTGCTGTGCCCGACCTCTAGAAGATCACCTGGAGGGATCTGGGTCCAGGCCGAGACAGTACTTAAAACCTGCATGTCCAGGCCGGTTTACATGCTGGCCGTGTCCCGCCCCACCTTCTCTGGCTCTCTGATCTCCCCGGTCCACAGGACACGATTCTACCAAATAGCCGAAGGTCCTCCTTAGCCAAGGAAGGTAACTTTTTGTCACAGGGCTGGGCACCAAGTTGTCCCGCACACCGATGCAACTCAGACCTCCTACTTTTACGCAAGTGCCTGCACGGGGAACTTGACTCCTGAACAGGAGGGTGCCTGTTAAAACTTGACGCGAGGAGGGCGACCAAGACGATGAGGGGGTTGGAGCACTTCCCCTCTGAGGAAAGGCTGAAGCGTTTGGGACTTCTCAGTTTAGAAGAGAGACGACTCAAGGAGGACATGATAAGAGGTTTATGAAATTATGCCTGGGGTGGGGAGAGTGGACAAAGAGATCTTTTCCTCCCTCTCCCCAAATGCTGGGACTCAAGTGCATCCCGTGAAGCTGATGGGCAGTAGGTTCAGGGCAGACAAAAATAAATATCTCTTTGCTCAAATGAGTGATTAAAATGTGGAATTCGCTGCCAGAGGATGTTGTGATGGGCACAGGAATGAACAGCTTTAAAAGGGGATTCGATAGATTCATGGAGGATAGGTCTCATTGGTGGCTACTAGCTACAGTGACTGAGGGGAACCTCCACATTCAGAGGCACTAAGCCTCTGAATCCCAGAGCCAGGAGGCAACATCACGGGAAGGCCTCGGCGTCTGTGCCCTGTTATTGCCCATCCAGAGGAACTGGTTGGCCCCTGTGTGAGGCAGGATGTTGGACTAGATGGACTCCCACTGGTCTGATCCAGCAGGGCTCTTTTAGGTTCTTGTCAGGGGAAGGCCTTGGCCTCTGTGCCCTGTTGTTGGCCCTCCAGAGGAACTGGACTGGCCACCGTGTGAGACAGGATGTTGGACTGGATGGACCACTGGTCTGATCCAGCAGGGCTCTTCTCATGTAACATGTTTGCTCTGCAAGCATGATTATGCTTCAGGTCCTGAATTCCACAAGGAGCAGAGCGCCACCAAGTTGCTAAAAATGCATTTAAGGTCTTCTACACGTGCTTTCTTCGTAATACCAGGGCATGGTAGGCGCTGCTTCTGCTGTGGTCAGGTAGGATTTATTAAGCTGAGGGGACTTCTGCCCATGTTTTAGAGCCAGTTTGGTGTAGGGGTTAAGTGTGTGGACTCTAATCTGGGAGAACCGGGTTTGATTCCCCACTCCTCCACTTGCACCTGGCTGGATGACCTTGGGCAAGCCGTAGCTCTGATAAGAGCTGTCCTTGAAAAAGAGCCGTTTCTGTCAAGAGCTCTCTCAGCCCCACCTACCTCACAGGGTGTCTGTTGTGGGGAGGGGAAGGGAAAGGAGTTTGTGAGCCGCTCTGAGACACCTTTGGGTAGTGAAGGACAGGGTATAAATCCCATCTCTTCTTCTCCTTAGAGGTGGTTTCCATATGCACCTTCCTGTCTGGGCAGAACTCTTCCCTGGGCAGACCCGGCAATGGGAAGGGCCACCAGGTCCCAGCCCACTTATGGCGACCCCTGGTGGGGTTTCCAAGGCCGGAGATGTTCAGAGGTGGTTCTGCCACTGCCTGCCTCTGCCTAGCAACCCTGGACTTCCTCGGTGGTCTCCCATCCAAGCACTAACCAGGGCTGACCCTGCTTAGCTTCCAAGATCTGATGAGATTGGGCTGGCCGGGGCCATCCCGGGTAGGCTGCGCTCTACACCAAAGGAATTTATGAACTGCCCTTAGGAGGAAGAAGCCTGTTAATAACCAACTGCTCACAAACGCTGCTGCTTCGGGAATTGTGCTGGTGGCCCGCCTGCTTGTATGGACTTCGGAATTGTCCAAAACGACACGAGTCACTTTTATTATCTCCTGTTGATCATCCTCCTCTGCAATGTATAGTGACTTTTGCTGGAATTGTTCCAAAAGGGAAACTAAAAGTAGGGGTCGCAAAAATCAAACGTTGAAAACAGACCTCGGGTGCATTTCTGCGAAATAAAGGTGCTCCTTTGATTCCGACAGGAAAGGTGGGCGTGTGCTTAACTTGGTGGAACTTCACTCGTGCCCCTGAGGGTTTTTTTTAGTTTTGTTTTCAAAAACCACTGCAGTGCTTCTGTCAGGACACACCACCTAAGCCAATCCCGCTTTGTTGTTGTTCAGTCGCACAGTCGAGTCCGACTCTTCGCGACCCCATGGATCATCTCCCGCCAGGCCCTCCTGTCTTCCGCCGTCCTCTGAAGCTGGCTCAATTTCATGTTCGTTGCATCGATGACACTGTCTAACCATCTCATCCTTTGCCGTCCCCGTCTTCTTTGACCTTCAATCTTTCCCAGCATCAGGGTCTTCTCCAGGGAGTGCTCCCTTCTCATTTGGTGGCCAAAGTATTTGAGCTTCAGTTTCATTATCTGGCCTTCCAGGGAACAGTCAGGGTTGATTTCTTTTAGGATTGACTGATTTGATCTTTTTGCAGTCCAAGGGACTCTCAAGAGTCTTCTCCAGCACCATAGTTCAAAAGAATCTATTCTTCGGCGCTCGGCCTTCCTTATAGTCCAACTCTCGCAGCCATACATGACTACTGGGAATACCATTGCTTTGACCATGCGGACTTTTGTTGGCAGGGTGATGTCTCTACTTTTTATCATGCTGTTTAGGTTCGCCATCGCTTTCCTCCCAAGGAGCAGGCGTCTTTTAATTTCATGGCTGCAGTCACAGTCTGCGGTGATCTGGGATCCCAGGAACGTGAAGTCTGTCACTACTTCCACGACTTCCCCTTCTATTTGCCAAGGAGTGATGGGGCCGGATGCCATGATCTTAGTTTTTTTGATGTTGAGCTTCAAGCCCACTTTTGCGCTCTCCTCTTTTACTCTGAGCAAGAGGCTCTTTAGGTCCTCTTCACTTTCTGCCATTAGAGTGGTATCATCTGCATATCTGAGGTTGTTGATCTTTTCCCCAGCAATCTTAATTCCCGCTTGTGATTCATCCAGGCCAGCATTTCGCATGATGTACTCTGCATATATATTAAATAAGCAAGGTGACAATATACATCCTTGTCGTACTCCTTTTCCTATGCTGAACCAATCAGTTGTTCCATATCCGGTTCTAACTGTCGCTTCTTGGCCCTTATACAGGTTTCTCAAGAGACATGTGAGGTGGTCTGGTACTCCCATCTCTTTAAGGACCTGCCATAGTTTGTTGTGATCCACACAGTCAAAAGCTTTAGCATAGTCAATGAAGCAGAAGTAGATATTTTTCTGGTACTCTCTTGCTTTCTCCATAATCCAGCGAATGTTGGCAATTTGATCTCTAGTTCCTCTACCTCTTCGAAACCCAGCTTGTACTTCTGGTAGTTCTCTATCCACGTACTGTTGAAGCCTAGCTTGTAGGATCTTGAGCATGACCTTGCTAGCGTGTGATATGAGTGCAATTGTGCGATAGTTTGAACATTCCTTGGCATTGCCCTTCTTTGGGATTGGAATGTATACTGATCTTTTCCAATCCTGTGGCCACTGTTGCGTTTTCCAAATTTGCTGGCAAATGGAGTGCAGCACTTTAACAGCATCATCTTCTAAGACTTTGAATAGCTCAGCTGGAATACCATCACCTCCACTAGCTTTGTTGTTAGCAATGCTTTCTAAGGCCCATTTAACTTCACATTCCAGGATGTCTGGCTCGAGGTCAGTGATTATACCGTCGTGGTTGTCAAGGACATCGAGGTCTTTCTTGTATAGTTCTTCTGTGTATTCTTGCCATCTTTTCCTAATCTCTTCTGCTTCTGTTAGGTCCCTACCGTTTTTGTCCTTTATCATGGCCAG